GCATCAAAAGAAGATGGAAGGAATACATAGAGTTACTGTACCAAAAGGAAATGGTTAACGTTCAACCATTTCAAGAGGTACCATATGATCAAGAGCCAATGATACTGAAGGAGGAGGAAGTCCAAGGTGCATTGAAGGAATTAACAAAGAACAAGGCACCAGGAATTGATGAAATAAAAATTGAAATCTTTCAAGAAAGTGAGGCAGCACTGGAGGCACTCACTCATCTCTGCCAAGAAATTTGGAAGACAACTATCTGGCCAACAGATTGGAAGAGATGCGTATTTGTGCCCATTCCAAAGAGAGGTGACTCAATGGAATGGGGAAATCATTGGACAATCTCTTTGATATCCCATATGAGTTAAGTTTTGCTAAAGGTAATACAGAAATGGCTACAATCATACGTTGACAGAGAACTTCCAGAGGTTTAAGCCAGATTCAGAAGAGGCCATGGAATGAGAGATATATTCTGATATCTGACGGATCTTGGCTGAAAGCAGAGAATATCAGAAAGATGTTTACCTGTGCTTTATTGACTACACAAAGGCTTTTGATTGTGTGGATCATTACAAGCTGTGGACAACATTATGAAGTATGAGTATACCAGAACACTTAATTGTGTTCATGAGGAATCTGTACCTGGACCAAGAAGGAGTTTTTCAACATGGGAACACTGAATGGTTTACAATTAAGAAACGTGCAACAAGGTTGTATTCTTTCACCATACTTACTCAACCTGTATGCTGAGCAAATAAACTGAGAAGCTGGGTTCTATGAAGAAAAATGTGGAGGAAAACTTATTAACAACCTGTGATATGCAGATGATACAACCTTGCTTGCTGAAAATGAAGAGGACATATAACATTTACTGATGAAGATCAAAGAGCACAACCTTCCGTATGAATTACATCTCAATGTAAAGAAAACAAAAATCCTTATCACTGGACCAATAAACAACATTCTTTGCAACAGAGAAAAGATTGAAGTTGTCAAGGATTTCATTCTTCTTGGATCAACTATTAATAGTCATGGAAGCAACAGTCAAGAAATCAAACGATGTATTGCATTAGGCAAATCTGCTGCACAAGACCTTTTTAAAGTGCTGAAGAGCAAAGATGTCAGCTTGACGAGTAAGGCTCACATGACCCAAGCCATGGTATTTTCAATAACCTCAAATGCATGCGAAAGCTGGACAGTGAATAAGGAAGACTGTAGAAGAATTGATGCCTTTGAATTGTGGTTTTGGAGGAGAATATTGAATGTGCCATGGGCTGCCAAAAGAACCAACAGATCTGTGTTGGAAGAAGTGCAGCCAGAGTGCTCCTTAGAAGCCAAGATGGTCAAATTTGTTATCTCATACTTCGGACATATTGTCAGGAGGGACCCGTTGCTGGAGAAGGATATCATGTTTGGTAAGGTAGAGGGTCAGAGAATAAAAGGAAGACCCCCGCCTCCCAACAAGATGGATTGGCCAAGTGGCAGTATCGATCGACTCAAGCGTGGCAACAGTAGTGAGGTTGGCCCAGGATCGGGCAGTGTTTCGTTTTGTTGTGCCTAAGGTCACTATGGGTCGGTACTGACTCAAGGGCACCTGATAGCAACAACAAGATGCCCTACTGGAGTCCTGCTGTGGTGCTGTGAGTTAATGTGCTGGATTGCAACATCGTTTGAACTGCAAGTGTCCATGGTTCAAACTCACTAGCTGCTCCTTGGAAACCCTATACAGAGTCACTATGGGTTGGAACCAACTTGACGACACTTAGTAACAAAAAACAACAAGATGCCCTATTGGAGGACCAGCTATTGACCCCAGGAATCTGGAGTAGGAACCACAAGAATTTTGTCAGGCAACTATTGGCCAATCACTTAAATATCACCAACACTAGCTCCGTCTTTCTGATCCTATCTGATGTATCTTCCCTGACTCATACCTATTTCCAACTTCTATTTTATGATTTTTTTTACAAGCAACTCTAAGTTTGCCTGAGCTTTGATTCAAACGAATTCTGCTAGGCCCTAGGTCTGGTAGGAAGACTTTGTAGACTTAGCTACCACCTGGGGCCACCAGATTGCATGTAGTGGACCTCCACCCTAATCACACCCATTCTAGCCCACCAGCTGCACATAAGAGTGCCAGTTTGGCATTGCTAGATCTTGTGTTTTTCAAGAGATTGCAAAAACTGGGTCTCGTGAGACATTTCACAACTCTTCAATGCTGGCAGCACATTTTAAAGGAAGTAAACATTCTATGGAATGAACAAACCTGCATTAGTCCTATGCATTCTGATCTGGCATATTACAAGCTACTGTGAAGTCATACGGGGACAATCATATTTTTAATCCAACACCTTGTCTACCTTAAATTCATAAAATAACCCTCCTGCATCATATTCTACTATTGAGCTCGTTGTTCAGCAATGGCTGAAAAAGTAAGGCATATGAGTCAATACTAGGCACCACATTTCTATCCCATTGCACAAATGGTTTGGGAACAGAGAATTGAGAAATGACTCATTTATCCAGCTCTCTCTCCCTCATCCAAGATTTACTTCGGTAGTTTTTACCCTACTCAGCTAACTGGGCCACTAGAAAGCTGTAACAGGAATTCCTACTAAGCTGTTGGCTACCGCTAGCATTTCTGAGTGAAGGACATTTCTGAATTCAATGGAAGAAATTTTCACCTTCCATGAAGGAGACCCAGGTTTCAGTCCAGTGTACCTCATATGCAGACACTAGTTGTCAGTGGAGACTTGCATGTTGCTATGGTTGCTGTGATGTTGAATAGGTTTCAGCGGAGCTTTCAGACAAAGCAGACTAGGAAAAGAAGTCTGGAGATCTAGTTCCAAAAACCAGCCAATGAGGACACTGTGAACCACAGCAGTCCAATCTACCACCCCTCATGGGAAGAGTCCAGGATTGGGCAGCATTTTGTTCCATTGTGCGCAGAGTCTGAACAACAACATTTCTTAATAGGATATTAAATGCATTAAAATGAAATGGTAGGGGGAGCTTATCAGGAGGAACTGATCCTGTATGATGAACTGCCCAGCTGTAGGGCAGAAGGACCAGGCCACACCACTCACAATGTCAGCTTCTCATGTGTGTCCTGTTTGTCTTATGTGGCGGTTCAAGGAGTGGACACCCAGCTCCCCACCCAAAGTCCATTATGCCCTCTTGGAGATTCCAGGTGGGTACAGGTGACTCGAAGGCCAGTTATTAAAGTGCTACTTTTACTTTTTAAACTTTTCTTGGTGGTTTTCATCTAGAGTGCGCCTCCCTCTGGGGAGCAGTAGGAAATGGTTGTGGCAGTGTTGGGGGTTGTGCCGGTTACAGTGCAAGGAGGGAGGTGCTAAGTGTCCGGAAGATGCCAGGCAGTTCCACTCAATGGAGTGGGGTCCAATGGAAGAACCCCAAAATGCTCCTGTTGAGAAACTCTGCAGTTCATCTGCTTAACAAATACCACATCCCACATTGCTTCCAGATGATTCCATGCACCAAATGTACCTGTCATTGCTGATGTCCGATGGATTTGGCTGAAAACAGAGAATATCAGAAAGATGTTTACTTGTGCTTTATTGACTATGCAAAGGTTTTTGATTGTGTGGATCATGACAACATTGCGAAGTATGAGTATTTTGGAACACTTAATTGTGCTCATGAGGAATCTGTACCTGGACCAAGAAGCAGTTGTTCAAACAAAACATGAGAACACTGAATGGTTTAAAATTAAGAAAGATGTGCAACAAAGTTGTATTCTTTCACCATACTGATTCAACTTGTATGCTGAGCAAATAATCCGAGAAGTTGGGTTATATGAAGAAATATGTGGCGTCAGGATTGAAGGAAGACTCATTAACAACCTGCAATATGCAGATGATACAACCTTGCTTGCTGAAAGAGAAGAGGACTTAAAACGTTTACTGATGAAGATCAAAGAGCACAGCCTTCCCTATGAATTACATCTCAATGTAAAAAAAAAACAAAAATCCTCATCACTGGATCAATAAGCAACATTCTTATCAATGGAGAAAAGATTGAAGTTGTCAAGGTCTTCATTCTTCTTGGATCAACTATCAACACTCACGGAAGCAGCAGTTAAGAAATCAAACGATGTATTGCATTAGGCAAATCTGCTGCACAAGATCTTTTTAAAGTGTTGAAGAGCAAAGATGTCAGCTTGAGGACTAAGGTGTGCCTGACCCAAGCCATGGTATTTTCAATAACCTCATATGCATGTGAA